GGGGAGGGGCCGCGGGCGCTGCCCCTTTAAGACGGGCCCGGGCAGCCTCCTCCCCCCCTTCCCCTTCCCCACCACTCCCTGCTCTCTCTTAGAGGCCAATTTTGTTAATTAAATGTTTTGTTTGCGACGCGGCTCTCATTCATTTCGGACACGTCATTCCGAGCAGATCTAAGCCAGGGACCAGATCTCATTAGATAAAACCTATCAGAACTAAGAGAAAATGGAGGAGACACTAATTAAAGCTTTTAATTGTGCGGATTCCCTGCCACGCTGCTGCTTTATCTGGCATCGCGGGGCCGGGAGGGCTGCGCCCCTCCCCGCCCGCCCAACAAAACCCAAAAAGCCCAAAAACCCCCCACGCGACCTCAGCCGGTTCAAAAAGCTCATTAACCGATGGCCCCGCGGTCCGGGCCCGGAGGAGTCAAGTGCCCTTCACCTGGCGCCCGCCGGGCTGCTCAATCCTCCCTCTCGCTTTGTCAGCCTCCGAACCAAGACCCGCGCCCCCGGCTCCTGCCGGGGGCAGGGAATGCGCCGCCGCAAGAGCCCTACAGAAAATTAAGGGGAAGGGGTGGCGGAGGGGAAGGGGAGCGAGAGCGGCTGGCGGCCGGGTGGCATCGCCTCCGCAGCCCGATGAGGCCATTTCAAGCAAGGAAAGGGCGAGGGCCTCGCTCACGCCAGCGCGACCCACGTGGAAGCCTGGGCAGTCCATTTCCAGCCGGAAGGCTCCACATTCACGCAGCCCGGGCAGGGCCAGGCTGTCCTACCCCACCTTGAGCGTACGGTGTCCAGTTCAAGTTTCAGCAAGCATCTGTCAGAGTTATTTTTGCAAGTCAAATTACACGGATCTAAAGAGAAGTCAGGCGATAGGACAAGGAGATCAATTCAAACCCCTCATCTGATAAAGCATCCTATTCATAATCGCCTACATTAAAATAAACGGGTATTAATTTTTGGCAACACAAAACCAGAGGACTGCGATAAGCTTGCCTGAACTTGCCTCTGGGATACAGTGGACGCATCTTCTCTTTTTAATTAGTAGTAATCAGCCATGAGGGTTTGTTTGATGGTGTTGGTCGAGCGATGAATCTGTACTATTCAGTGCATCTTAACAGTAGTGTCAATTTTTCCACTTCAAACGAGACTCTTCCCCTAACACCGTTCTGCTCTATTTAATTACAATTTTGCCAGGCTTAGGCTTGTTGCTTAGGATGATGACCGAAAAGCACCATTAACCCCCGCCCCGCGCGCTGATTTTCTAGCATCTCTCTCTAAAAATACCCCCAGACCCCACGAAGCTAAGGCTCCCACCCCTCAAAGATACCGAGGGCTGCATTTCATCTGCTTAACTGCCCGAAGATGCAGCCATGTTATCAGGACAGAGGCTGCGCTGCCCGAGGAACCAAGCCTTAACTCCGTCCTAAGGAGGTCTCCAAGCAGACGCACACATTCAGTACAGTCCCGACCTTCTCAGACAGAACTCAAGTTTTACAACAAAAGCAAACTCGTAACATTTGGCGGCTGACTTACTTTTTTCCCCCCAGCAAGGAAGAAAAAAAAAATTTTAAAGAAGTGGAACTTTTTGGCCATCAGAGAGAAGAAAAACCTGGGTTAACTCTTGACATTTGCTGTAAATGAGAAGCCAGAAGCATTTAAACAAAACACGATTTGTTTTAACCGAGCATTTCTGTTATGCTGGGAAGGTATGGGGCTTTTTTGTTGTTTTTTTTAATTACTGAATGTTGAAATAGAACACCTCCTTGAAGCATTCATGTGCATCAGTCTATCAAACCATTTACTCAAATTAAATGTGTAATCCTTCAAAATGCCTCCTTTTAAATTAATGAGTTTAAGTAGCTTGAGTTCACCTGAAAAGATCGTGCGGGCACCTGACCTCATGAATTCTTTCTATTAATTATATTGGAACCGCGTCGGAAGAGCTCCCCTGCCTAATCTTACTGCACCCCAACAGATGCGAGATTACCATGGCTTAGTTCCCCCCACCCAAATCTGTGGCATTCAGAGCCAACAGCTTCAAAAAAGAAAGCGGTAAGAAATAAAGGGCGAGAGCGTATCCCTCCTCTGCTGTCCCCTGCGCTTTCTGTCCTGGAAGTCAGGAAAAACATGGGTTCAAAGCTTCTCCCCAACGACGCCAAGGCGAGCACGATGCCACGGTTTTGGGCTATAAGTAGACTCGGTGGCCCTCCAACTGACGGTTAATCAGCTCTTTCACAAGGAGGACGGAGAATGAGTCATTCTGTTTCCACTCAAAGGAGTTTAAAGGTGCTTATGTAAATATCATAATTAATCAGATACTAAAGGCAGGCGTCTCATTATTTAGCACCTCTGCCACAGCCTTATTTAAGCCCTACGATTTTAACATTTACCGTTCAGATATGCACACTTCTCCTTCAACACTACAACAAAGCAGATTAATTTAGCCTCTCTGATTGCTGTTTATTTTTAGTTAGGACTTGTTTTGTGCTGACAAACCACTTTGAAGTTACAGTCGTCGTTCCGCCCCCGCCTCCCGCCTTCCCCCCCCCT